ATTTCTGGTAGCCAATGTTGACATTTGAAATCACCAAAATAAACACGCCTCTACCCCAAAAGGGTCTCGCCCCTATTTTGATAGCTCCGCCCCACACATACGTATGCAACCCAGGCAACGATTATGGCGGAATCTGCTGTATGCTGTATTAAATATATTATCTTACTTTTCGGACACACTTTGGGAGCTGATGCTTGAAACAGACAGTGGAGGAGGTTTAGACGCTCCAGGCTTATAGGGTGTGGAAATGAATGTGTCTTTATCATAGCTGAAGGGAACGACAATACGATTGCAGATGAACAAACAAGCGAACATGACACACGAGCATATTCAAGCAAAAGCCAGCATATATTAGTTCTGTGAAACAAAGCAAAACCAATGTTACTCACCTATCGAGAAGAAACAAAGCAACCTCGGCGTCCGATCGCAGGCCTTCCGCTCCTTGAGTTCTCTCCAGCACTGGATAGCTGATCCGATATTTACACGGGTCTTAGTTCCTGCCTTATCGCAAGCCTTCTTTTATTCCGCAGACGTTTTCCTCTTTTGTTTTTTATCCGCCATCTCTATCTTTCTGTCGTCGCTCAGCTCGCTAATGTCCGTCCTGTGCACCGAACGCTCTCTCCTCCGCATCATGAGTAGACACGCCCCTTACTGCTGATTGGCTATAAGTTTGTTTTGGTACTCGGCCCGACTCAGTTTTCTAAAGCGTTTTTGAAAAAATTCATACCCCACCTTTAATGCGGCGCTGAGCAGACTGGGTGAATGGATGCTTTGATGTCATACCGTTTTGGTCTGTGCAGCGCTGCTTTAAGTCGAACACAGCTTTTGTTTGGGGTGTTTGGTGAGTTCTGTCGCGAAATATACGTCATTCAACCCGACCAATCAGGTTGTGAACGTATCACTATGCCTTTAGGTTCGCTATCAAAAATGCCAGTGTGAACACTTAGTGGACCAGGACCAAATGTATGGTTTTCTTTTATGGTCCGGACCAAATGAACCAAGAGAACCGAACTACAAGTGTGAACACACCCTTAGACAGTGTCTTAACATAGGTTTATGCAACTGGCCCCTGGGCTTCCTCTATTGACCTCTATCTATCATGGTCTGTTAATAATCCCCACTTAACTGGCAACATCAGTCTACTCTAACCCAACCTTCACTGATAGCTGCTGTGTTTGTGGGTCCTAAAGAACTCTATATAATTGTAAAGAATTACTATTTGTTCCAAGCCGCCTGTTTAACTTCCGTGGTATTTTAATATTCACACTGCTCTTTTCCATTCAATGAATGTGAATGGAGATGGATGTTGTCAAGCTCAAAAATAAATTCTTAATTTGTGACCACAATATCTATTCGTCCTTCTGCATGTCACGTGCGTGTCTCCACACATTTGGCTCTTGCACTATGTGCCATGTGATGGCCAGTATACAGTGGTGTGAAAACGTGTTGGCCCCATTCCTGATTTCTTTTTTTTTTTTGCATGTTTGTCACACTTGAATGTTTCAGATCATCAAACAAATTTAAATATTAGTAAAAGATAACACAAGTGAACACAACGTGCAGTTTTTCAAATGAGAACTGAATATAGCGCACAAGTCATATGAGCTACTTTTATGATGCTTTCTGTTATTTTTGGTAACATCTGTTCAGTGCTGATTTTCTAGTTTCTGCTAAACTTTTCATTTTGTGGAAAAAAGCACACAGGTTTGAATGACATGAGGTAGAGTAAATAATGGCAGATTTTCATTTTTGGATGAAGTCCCCAGCACAGCTGCCAGCTCAGGGTGTTTGTTTAAACACATACAGCATTATATCTTCTAGCAGACATGCATGAATTAATAAAACATTGCGTTACGTTATAAAAGGTCCATTTTCTTTCACATAACTGTGTTTGGCTTCGGATCAATGTGTAAATGGAAAGACGTGGTAATCTAAACACACTGCAATGAAACCATGTATAATATATAAACTATATCTATAGTCCATCAAGACTAATGGAATATTGACTGTGCGGCACCTGTGCGCTTCTCTCTGGAGAGCTGCTTTGCTTTCCTGATCAGAACATAATGCGTTCAGAATAATTGAGTTATCAGCGCGCACCTATCGCATTCAAGCCAGAAGTGCTAATAGCAGCCGTTATTATTATTCCATATGTTTGAGTGTGTGAATGAAGCACTCAGGAGGCCGAAGAACAGCCTTGATTACGCCAAACAGCATCAAAACTGCAATTAAACACTCATAATCATTTAGAAAGTTCAAGAGGCAGAGTTAGCCGACATCCACTTCAGGGAAAACAACTCAAGTACTTGGAATCATTTGCAAATCAGTGAATCAGTGAAATATCAATTGCTGATGCAGGAGTGCTCTGCTCCAAAACCAAGCGAGCCGCCTACTTTTTAGGGCCTCATAGGCACACTGTCAACTTCAAGAATTATTCTGTCTTCTTAAGATACTTCATTTGGGCTGAGATCTGAGGTAGTGTTGTATCTTATGCGGAGCAAGCAATGCCAAAATGCAACAAGGATAAATTTATCCAAGGTGGAGGAAATGTCAATACTTGCTATGTTTTGTAAAATAGTAAGTTTTGAAATAGATTGAGCTGTCTTCACTGCTAATTTATGTTACTAAATTAAGAATATTTATATAAGTAATGTTAACATAAAACCTAACCTGACCAATTCTCTGTTTATTCATTAATACAATTACATTTTAAATAAACATACAAATGCATAAATTGTGTGTGTCTGTGAGTGTGAGTGTGAGTGAGTGTGTGTGTGAGCGTGTGCGTGTGCGAGAGTGTGAGTTTGAGTGTGTGTGTGTGTGTGTGTGTGTGTGTGTGTCTGTCTGTGTGTGTGTGTGTGTGTGTGTGTGTCTGTCTGTGTGTGTGTGTGTGTGTGTGTGTGTCTGTCTGTGTGTGTGTGTGTGTGTGTGTGTGTCTGTCTGTGTGTGTGTGTGTGTGTGTGTGTGTCTGTCTGTGTGTGTGTGTGTGTGTGTGTGTGTCTGTCTGTGTGTGTGTGTGTGTGTGTGTGTGTCTGTCTGTGTGTGTGTGTGTGTGTGTGTGTGTCTGTCTGTGTGTGTGTGTGTGTGTGTGTGTGTCTGTCTGTGTGTGTGTGTGTGTGTGTGTGTGTCTGTCTGTGTGTGTGTGTGTGTGTGTGTGTGTCTGTGAGTGTGAGTGTGAGTGAGTGTGTGTGTGTGTGTGTGTGTGTTTATTTATAATATATATATATATACTGTATACTGTGTATAAATGTGTGTGTTTGTGTGTGTTTATAAATAAATAAATCGGCTGTCTGTGCAGTGTTTAAAATCAGTCATTTATGAGCTTCTGAAAGGTTTTGGATTTATATTTATTTATATAAATATAAATTATTTATATTATTTATTTATATTTATATTTATACTGTACTGGAAAATCTATCAGTGATTCATCTTTGGCTTTGCTTCCACAGGAATCATCTCAACGTTTCTTCACGTCCATCCTTTTGGAGCCAGCATTGAATATATCTGCTCCTATTTACAGCGGCTGGACACCAAGGTATGAAACACACACACATTTCACTCCTTTTATTTTTACTTCTCATTTTCAGTTAGTTATAATGATGCAATTTCATTTAGCTTCAGTAGTTTTGTTCTTTATAGCAGCCGTTCCATCTTACTATGATGACAGATACTGCACTTCATCAAACAAACTGCACCCTAAAACAATAACATCTTTAAAGTTTATGTTCAAAGTTGTATTTGTCACAATTATAAGAACGCAGCTGCAGTGCTTACTGACAATTAAATGTGCTATAAATGTGTCAGATTTAGCAGTAAGATGTGACTATCATCACTCTGGCGTCTCCGGAGTCGTTCTGATTCAGCGACTTGAGTCATAAGGGCCCACACAGAAGAACAACTAATCGTGGGATTCACCAAAGTTTGTGCTGCTCATGACAAAACCTTTGGATTATATTCAAGTGTTTCTTGTGAGGCAGTTGGGATCAACTTAAGTAGCCTCTTATTTCTTTTTTTGGACCTTTGATCAGTGGTGGATGAAGCACACAAATCAAGTACTTGAGTAAACGTACAGATACCCTAGTGAAATATGACTAGTAGAAGTACTTGTTTTCAGTTTTATGAGAAAAAGTAGAAAAACACTTGATTTGAATGCACTTAAGTATTAAAAGTAATTAGTACTGATCGATGAACCCAGTGTGTTATTTATATATATATATATATATATATATATGTTTATATATATTAGTCAACACTAGTAAAGATTAGTGCATATTGTACATGCAATATGTATCGATTTGCAAATAAGCTCAATTTTATTACCAAAACTTTTTATACACTACTAAAACACCAAACTTTAATGTACTAAAATATCCAGCTACTGATAATTCAAGCTTGCAAACATGTATGTCACATAGTATTTTAAAAATAATAATATGCCATATAGTATTTTTAAAAAGTCAGAAAAACAACATTTGTGTAAATATGTGGTTTTGTATCATTTGAAACGGTTACAGCGGTGGGTAAGATGCATCGGCATTAATTTGCATTATTTTACCAAAAATAACCAACCCCTTACAGACAGTGACACACAAATGCAGATTTAGTTCACAAATAACTGAATCATGACCTAAATATGATTTTCATTTACTGTGCAGAAATCAATACTAAAATTTGGCATTATTGACTTACTTTTTGCACCATCAGTCGCACGTACATTCAAGCTCAGACTATGGCTCATTTTGACCCGAGCATTGAATCATTGAGTTGTTTAATTATGAACAGCTGCAAGTGAATCGTTTCGAGTGATTCGTGAATCAATTCAACTGACTCATTGAAAAGAATCAGCACTTTCAAAAATGGGCCATCGGTCTCATGGTAAGCCCGATTCGGACAGTAATTGTTTCTCATGGTGACATTAGTGATTTTCACCACTTACAGGGGTTAGTCTGATTTTATTGCCGTCTGAATCCAGAATGCCGGTGTTTTTCTCCCACCACCCGCGTAAAAATCCCAGACCGAATTACCCACTGTTTTTTGACAAACACCAAGGTCGTGTGGTAATTTAATTGCTGTCCGAATCCACATCTCTGAGTTTACAAGAAGAAATCGATCCAAAATTCAATGTTTAAATCCTTTTTGAGCACTGCTGAACACCGTACGGTAACTGTTGCACTTTGCTGTAATTTGCGTGCATATTTATCATAAAAAAAAAAATACTGAAAAGTAATTACAAGAGCAATATTTCATAACTGCTCCACCTCAGTGAGTGGGAGCTGTTAAGAACAAAAAGTAAAAAGAGAGAAAAAAGCATGTAATCATTTGATATGGGTCATTATTATGGCAGCAACAGGTATGCAGTACAGTTTTAAAATGTATTATATAGGCCTACAATTACATACATAAAAATATAAACTAAGCAGCTTTATGTTTACCTTATGTAAACAAGAGGTTGCATTAAGTTATTTTTGCTAATCTCCACATTTTTGATGACATCTATTATTTTGAGAGATAAAATGCAAAACCATTTCAACTATAGCGCGTCTGTTGTCCTGTTTTTAAACAGAAGATTTAAATAATCAAATAATAAATTGGATATTATTTAAATATGAATTTATTCTTATTATTCCATGCATGTGACATTTTATTTACAGCAGACAGTCATGCGACTGGCCACGTGAGCAGCGCGTTCCCGGGTTTGCAGGATCACTGTGAATAAATCACCATTCGAATCCATGAGTTTTATGAGGTGCCATGGGAATTTATTTTTACAGACGTCCACATGAGAAACAATTACAGTCCAAATAGGGCTTTAGAGGGGATTGTATTTTTTTCTGTTCGAAATGACTGGGAAAAATACGTTTTTTTATGAAATGTACTGGAGTATTATGCTCTGGAATGTTACGAAGTATAAGTTTCCCAAATTAAAAATACTTTGATAAAGTACATATACTCAAAAAATGTACTTCAAATGTACTTAAAATGTCAAATGAATACTTTGTTACTGTACACCACTGCCTGTATATATATATATATATATATATATATATATATATACACTGAACAAAATTATAAACGCAACACTTTTGTTTTTGC